GTGATGGCTAATGGTTGGTGTGTGCTGTGAATGCCGTCTCCTATATTATTAAATATAGGCTATCCGTGTGGGAAGGTAAACCAGAGCCGGTCCGTTCTGAGGTGAGCGACAATCAACAGGGATGTAGAACCACCAGGAACTCCGTTGTGCGTTGCTATTTATTCCTCCCAGGCCATTCGTTCTGACCGCTAGAGTATCTCGTCCAATTAATCAGTGCCTAGAATGTTACCTGTGCCCAAGTATTTCGAGTTGAATGTCACATCAAGTTGCCGCTGTTGCGAAATCAACCTTGATGAGTTATCTGAATCCCAGTGCGTTTACCTGAAGGCCGCATCAGTACAAGGGGGCGTACAGAGGCACTTGAGATCGGATACAGTGACCTCATGTTGCAACCCGCATTAAGTCACGGTGTCACCCGAGAAGGAATGTAATAAGATCCATCAAGAATTCATGGCGGACGAAGTACGCGGAGCAGCTAATCCTCTAACACTGCTACCTCACCTGCAGGTCTCAGACGCAGCTCAACGTTAGCAAAAATTCTATAAGTTGCCGTCTTCCTTGCGGTTGCAAGCTCCTCACCGAACTGCCGACGCCTCTGTGATTTCGTGTTACTGCATAAATTTCACTGTCTTCTGTACATCTCGTAAACGATGGCAGAGCCAGACGGAAGGAACTTATTCCACAATATGCGCTTTCGAGCCACTGGCCCAGCTTTCCGATACTTGAAGGATACGAGTCGAGTGCATAGCAATTTCACACACTCATTTTATAACAGAACAAGAAGCTTCAAAAGATGAATGCCGCGACAGCGACCAGTTCACTTGACTGGCAACTTCAGTGAGACCAGTGAATTCAATCTTCTAGTAGTTGTAGGATAACCCTAGCAAACCCGAAATAAAATAAATCGCCAACTGTACGCCGTAAGGGCGCTTCGCTGCCACGTGACTACCACCAGTCACGCGTGGGCTGAGGATACTGCAAAAACGCCCACTCCTACGCGGATTCGAACCGGTGACCTTACGGCTGCAAACCAAGCGCTGACTACTCGGGCACCGGCCGACAGGGTATGGCATAAAAAGCTCAAGACTGGACATGATCTTCCAATGATCACACAATGGTAGAGACTCAAGGACCAGAACAACACGAACAAGCTGTTTGAAGCTAGTGAACATCAACGACGGATTTGTGTGAGGTGCAATGCGCGTTGGCTGGCAGATGTGCTGTGCTGCTCCAGTCTCAAATGGAAACTCAGAAAACTTCCTAAGCTTCACAGTACCAGGCGAGACCAGAGTATTCGAGAGAAGTTGAAATCATCCATGAGCAGAAAGCGGGGACGATTCAGGTAGTTTCAAAGATACAGTAACCAATCCAAACAGCGACTTCGCGGACTGCGATAAGTTACACCCAGGAACAGTACGACACGCCCCAGGTGGACAGAGCACAATAACTGCCCGCACAGTCCATCTTCACTTCGGTAGGTGCATACCGGTCTTCCGCACAGCGAGGACCGAATGCATAGCAGCATACCGAGGTCGTTTGATAGTCCGTTGCACCGGAAGCACGAATGACTTGGATTTCATGGGCAGTTACCACAAAATTCAACCAAGTTTCAGCCAATCCTAATACGTCCGGCCCACGATAGGAAAGGAAATGGCACAGATCGTCCCGTTTGTTCAACAAACAGAAAGCATTAGCAAAGACCACGAGCAGGCCACGGTAGGAACCATGGGCCGCGCATTAAGCGTCATCAACCTGTTGATCCGGGTTCAGAAAACACGGGTAACTACGCAAAAATGTACAATGTATAGATTAAATCTCCATTATCAGTACACTGCTCAACTCAACAACAGCAGACTTGAGTTTCCCCTGGTTTGATGGATCCAAATCTGGATGAATATGCATCTGCAGACCCCTAAGCCTACAGAGGCAGGATAGTATCAGCCCCGGAATTGCTTCATCAACAAAAGTGAATCGTAGCAGCGGAGTCTTCATAACTCTTTCCCAAGTGGGTGATTCGCTTCATCAGCAACCCCTGTTCACCAATGTCGAGTGGTCCGTCAATTAAACTCTGCAGAAACTCGATGTCGTGATCATAGCGGGACTGCGCATTTACATCAATTGACTTAGGCGCATGAAATATTATGAGGTTGCAAAACCGCTGATCGTACGCACTCTTTCTTCTTTCGTTGTGTTTTCCACTGACTCACATCGCTTGCGCTATCGCACAGCGGGAAGTTGGTGCCCTTAGGTCGCAACACAGACGCACCGGCTATAACCAGTAAAGGATGGACGTCATTCCAGAGACCTATCAGCCAGCGGGCAGATGGGAGAACTCCGTTTATAACGAGAGCACGAAACATTCAAGCAATGAAGCTCAAGATAAACTGCTGCTTCAAGGATTGCTTACTGAAACGACCAAAAGATGCAATTAGATTGCGAAAATACCATTTATAGCAGCGAACTTCAGCACAGAAGCGCGTTCCGATTACCAGGTTTCGTGAGCACAAGTCGAACTATTAGTTGAGAATGCGATGCAACCCAATGTGGTTTACCAAAATTGGGGCGATACGACGGTGAGTAAACAGTGCTGAGGAGTCAGCGATGACTTAGACCTTCCACGAGTAACGGGTGCGACGCGGATTGATTAGAAGGAAGGGAACAATGTTTTCGGTGTGGGAACCTAGTGTTGCTCAGAATCTTGAGACGGATCGCAGGTGAGTGCTTCTTCCAGTTAGCACTGACCACTCAGATTGATGGAACAGTTAGCTAACCCTGTTGTATCGACATTACAGTGTCGTGTCGCGATCCATTCGAAACCCATGAAGATGTTCGCACAGACCCGCGCGTGATCTGAGTCAATGAAGGAGGACCAAAATGGTGAGCATTCCAGTACACTGCAGTGTCATCTAAAACTCAATTCCATATGATCAATTTGAAATCACATTTGCATTGGTTAAGCTCAAGTTATATACCTGCTTGACACTATTGCATGTTTGAAACTGCATGATTTGAGAAAACTGTCTGCAATATTTGAGTGACTCCCGTTTAGTAGGTGTCGACCAACAAGGTGATGTTCACATGTAAGGAGGTGGCCGACGTACACATTAAAATCTCTGGTAGGGATCACATTATTCAGTTGGCCGGCGTTGTTCCAAAACTGTTGAATCGCGCGATAGAAGTTATTATTGAGCGAGTTTCGACTGCAGCCAGGTCAAGCAAAAGTGCAAAGCAAAAACATTGCGTATTCTTTTGTACTGTTTGTCGATTCCGCATAACCCTTGAAACCGTACTACATCCAGTAGATCGCCAATCGGGAATCCATTCAACAGCGCGGCTTTCGTCTGCTCATCAATGCTGCGCGAAAGTCAAACAAACCGGCTACGATGGCTTCTGCGTCGCTTGAGAGACACAGGTGGTGGTTCGCTCAGTGGATGACGAGAAGTGTCAACTGAATCACACTGTTGCTGTCCTGCAGCTGGCTTTCACAAAACCAACAAACGTCGTGGGCCAGCGAAAGGATTTTAGGGGGATCGGTGAAGTCGCATTAAGAAATAAGTTCAAAGAACCAATAATCATTGATAAATGAATAGTTAGTATGTGACGAAAGATGTAGTGGCAACAAATAGGAAGGCAGCAAGGTCTATCGTCTTTCAGAGCGTGTCAAACTACGCGATCGTTCAAGCCCCAGCTAGGAGACGAATTAGGAAACACTGCTCCGAGATCCCGATTTAAAAACTTGACAATAAAGCAGCGGAACGAAGCCAGATCACATCTGCTGGGAGTCGGCGACCGACCTCTGAGCTCATGTGCCTTCGGGTTGGTGGGTCGACAAGCAGTGTGATAAAATGCAAGGGGAAGTGATACTGACAAGTAATGTGTTCCATTCGCTACATCGTTGTCTTTTTAAGCATTGTGGCTCTTATGGGAAGAACACTTGTTAGGTTACAATAAACTACCTCCTGTGGCATCCATGCTGATGGATCAATTAAGCCTTAAAAATATCCCGAGCTATCCAGTTAACACCACAAAGAGGTAATTCATCAAAGCAGTCCGAGGCAACCAGTGCAGCAGCAGATAGTAGGTAAGTGCAACGGGCTGAAGAAACCAAGCAAAGAAACTGTCACCAATGCCTAAGAGATGATTATGAGCTTCACTGCTGGATTTTGCAGCACCCCACAATTGGGACCACGGTTTACAATATGGTATACCCCGACACTGCAACACTGCAGTCTTGAGGGCGAGAAGGACCAAGGCTCTATGCTTCTGAGCTCAGACGACTTATACCGCTAAACCAATTATCCTCGAACAGAAAGAATACCCAAGGACATGAGGAACAAACAGTGGGTGGAGTAAGTGCGTCGTATGTCTGCGAATGGTCCGTTCCGACGTCTCTTATTTGCGGAGGCAGTGTCAAAACAACAAAGCATGATAATATCGAGGACATGTAATGATATGTAAGCATGAAGAGAGAAAAAAAGATCGGCCCGCGCCGGTACACCATCTACTTAAGTCGAAAACACGGAGTAACTCAAACGGTTGTCAGAACGAATTCCCAAAACACACGACCAACAAGATGGTTTTGCTCCTGCGTTCATGTACATAATACTAATTGCTAATCGCTAAACTTGCTGCCAATGATTGTGAATTTCGGAAACCAATCAAGTTGGTTTTTAAAATTTTGGTTACATTATGGCTGCAGTTTGGTAGGCTGGTATAAGAGTACTCATAACCTCGTTGCTCGGAAAATGACTGCAAAACAGAAAGCCAAATTCAACAGAGGAACAACACCTTGGCACAGTAAAGTAGGAGTGGGGAATGCGTCTAAATTCATTTGATTCGCAAGAAACATGGTAGGAGGTCTCAGACAACTGAAGATGCGATAAAAAATCAAGAAATGGGAAACAAGAATAAGCGAAAAAAAGTGAAATCTGGGCAGTACTAACAAGAGAATTCCGAGGCAGTGAGGATAAGAACATAACGGAATACGATGTGGTACTTACATTTTCCAAAGAAATATCACTTGAATGAAGGGACTCAACCTTTATCGAAAATGAGTTGCTCAAAAAGTTGTTCTGAAAACAAATCAAGAAGAGGGTGAACCAAAGTTGACCGAGTGCTGTACCGTGAGGATAGTTCGACAGTAGGGGTAGGCATTCCAGGCCACTTCGTTTAGAATGAGAGCTGAAGTCGGGGCTAGTGCGCGAACGATCCCAGGCACCTTGTTTGCTAGGTGATAGTACTTTTGTGTATACTGGCCCGTTGTATACTTTGGGTCCCCATGCAATAAAGGTGGATCGGGGGCGTTCACATGAGCAGTGAATGGTTCGTTCACGAGGACCTCTACGCCATCACCACCTCCAGTTTCTTGCTTGGATAGTTCAGCGACAGCGTATAGCTGCGCGATCTGATACTCTTCAACCGTCATCGGTAGTATGATCCGGCTGAAGAATAGTAGAAAGTAGGTTCGCTGAGTTGTACAAATGTTAGACAGCTTAGGTGGAATGTACATATATGAAAGGCTGAAAAGTAAAAACAAGAGTATAAAGATGCAAGATGCAAGGTAGGAAATGTTTCACCATTGTTCATTAAAGTGAACATCGGGAAAATCGAGCCGTAACAAGACGAAATAGCTGGACATTAGTTCTGGAGACTTATGCGAAGAGGCGATCATGAAATCTGCAAAGTTGTGAGCAATATCCCGTTAACTGATGTCAATCGCGTTGAAAAACGAGCTGCAAGCTCTGATATCGAGGTCAATAAGTTAAAAGCTCAGTAACGAAAGGCGTACTCATACGAATGAAATGAGTACATAGTATAGCTCAGGCAGCCAGTTTGGTCGATTGGTTCAATGTGTTTGCCTGAGGTAAGACGAGTAGTATGGCCGTGACCTAATTAATAAGTAGTGCCTAACCGCACGATTCGAGAAGTACTGACAACCACGCCAACTGCTATCGTGCACAAAACAATAACGAAGTGCGCCCCAAGAATTCGTTTGAGCAGCAGGAAAGCTCTGCCTGCTTACATTCAGCGGTGTATGGTAGACAAGCGAATCAGCACCTGGACCAGTCCCAAAGGTATTAACAGAGGGAAAAAAGAAGTAGACGCAAGTTTTATTCCACAATGTCCGGCGTCTTTGGCAAAATTTACCATGCGTACATCACAACGTCCAACAACAACGTCCGGCCTCAAGCTGCAACATGTATTTGACGATGTGCGCGCCAAATGTCGAGTTTTTGGAAGACAAAGTTATGCACCAGAGAAGAGGTTAAGTGATGTTTGTGAGGGATCGGGTACTTATCCAGGACGGAAGTTTTGATGAGTGAGCTGGAATCGCTACAGGGCTGCCAGTTTCTTGATTTCTTTGGTATCAGTAGTAATGCGAATGCCCATGGGCTCTCGAGTCCGAGCATATGTTCGAATTTCGCCCTAGCCACTTTAATTTTGTCTGAGGCATGTCTGCGAGACGAGCCGAAACAGGTGGACCTTTAGCATACACCTGATACATGAGGCTTGATGTCAAGGGAGGTAGATAGTTCTGAATGCGAACGAGTTTGGGATGCTGGTTGAGAGCTAAAAGGGATGTGAGACTTGATGTATGGAATGGGAGTGAATGAAATGAAATGTGTCAGCTTATACGCCGTAACGGCGCTTCGCTGCCGCGCGACCACCACCAGTCGCGCGCGGGCTGAGTATACCGCGAGAACGCCCACCCCTACGCGGATTCGAACCGGTGACCTTATGGTTGGAAAGCAAACGTGCCGACCACTCGGCCACCGGCCGACTGGGAGTGATCACGGACAAGTAGGTTCTAGTCCCATCCATACTGAGAGGCGCTGGAGTGTTGATCAAGTTCTGCCTTTTTGTATCAACTGTAAGGTCGAAATGTTGAGAATAAATGCCTCCGAACAAAGGGCACGGCTGTTACGGTGAAAATCAAGCAAGAGATTCGCCGGAGACCTATGCTGAAAGTGAGCAGTTTCACATCCAAAGTTGCAGTCGGCATTGCATTGCCAGCCTGTAGGCTTTTCGGCGAGGGTGGGACCACTTCATCTGAGCTATGGGGTATAACGCTGAATACGACTCCGGCGTCCACTAGGAACTCGATTCCTAGGCCGGTCGCGTACGTTACGTGGGGTCGGGGGCCAGACGTTACTACCTTTCTCGGCGAAGGTGAATGGCTTGACAACTTTGCGGGCCGCGTTACCAAAACGCTGATAATACCAATAGTATCTTTGTTTGTTGATGGAATTACAGTGTCTTGAAGACGACTTTGAATGACTGCAAATGCGACGGTTCAAAGTGTGCTCTTGAACTTGGCGACTTAGTATCACCACGTGCGCATGCAAGGCATCTATTGTCCGCTGTAAGCCGGTGATAGATACATGCCCTGAGGTGTGACGGCGTTGATCATGCTGACCTCGACTCGACAATGTATCCAAAAGTGTTGCGCTTTAACAACACCGCAACCAAACATGTGAAATTTCAGCGACGACCGGTGTATGCGTCGAGTCTCCAGATAGGTTAAAGCAATGATTGCAAATATTTAAGGCGTTGCTTTAGCCCCCAGCAGAAACATTGGCGGCAATTTACTCAAATGGACTTCAGTGAAGAAATGTACGTGCATTGTTCGATCTCCAATTTCAACTGTTTTTGTAAAGGCATTATAAGTATACATATAATTGCAGCAGACTAATAAACCGTCCTAAACCATGACAAGCAACGGAAGGTGATAGAGACAATTGCCACAAAAAGAAAATGGAACACTTTTTGCCGTTCATTCATACCCCTTTACCTAGTTTATCATTTTTCAAGCTTTGATTGTTAAACCCTTGAATTTAAACGATAAGGTACGCAAATCTTCCCCTTGATTTCCATTGTGCGCCATGACTTGAAGCGGTTCGAGAAACCGGGGCCCCCAAACAGGCACTTTTGGATCGAACGGCTGACAAGATTGAAGTCAACGAGTCTACATGATATCAAGCGGTCTCTTCCAACCCAATCCTGCACCAAAAAACTGGGCATAATGAGGTAAACGCTAAGATGACACATGTAGGATATGACCAGGCCATCTTCATTGGTGAAATAGAACCAGCTTGCTGAAGTGAATACACCATACGCAAAGATAAGAGATCTAATCTCACCGCTGCGGACACGCTGCTGCCAACACTCACAAGCAATCCACCCAAGGCATCCAACGTCGGGAGCCGCTGAATATCATTCAAGGAACTGGCCAAGAATGGCTCAAACAAAAGTATTGTAGACCGGGTCCGTTATCGAGAGAGAAACATCACGATGACGCGACGCGTGCTTCAGATGGGCAAACGCCGATGGACCTTGGGTGATGCGGAGCGAAACATCCTTTCCAACAGCTACATTAGTAGACACGTAGTTCACCAGGTAGATAAAACTATACGGTGAGCACACAAATAATTGTGTGCAAATCCTTAAGCTGCCCCCTTAGACTTTGAGGGGTGAAGCATGCCGCACAGAGATGACCCAATCTTCAAACGGCTCAAAATAGCTTGGGCACTCTGCGGTTTGTCAACAGCAGAGTCTAGGTCAGTCACCCGCATTTGTGAGAGAAGATCCAAGTTAAAATTTTGGTAACCTTCCAGAGCTCTGGACGTCTTCAGTCACAAAGAGAAACGAAGACATAGGACAACCTTGTCGTACACCGCTGTTAACAGCAAAAGACGAAAAAATTTCCATAAGACGTCACTAAACCAGACACATGGACGCACAATGCGCGAAGGACGTTAGTTCTTTTACTCTTTGTCCTATGTACTTAATAACATCAAATCAGAGCCAAGTACTGATTAGCTCTGTAGGCATCCCACATACATAGTTGGTTACCTCTGTTTCGGGTTTGCTTGTCAACGAGATAGCGAACGGCCATAAAATGCTGTAAATACTGAGGGACCATGGGTGGCTTGTGTTGCACCACCCACAGCTCCATCCACGCACATATCCAGTGTAAATCCGAAGGAATAAGACCGGGAGGCATGTGGATGGGAGCCAGATTTCATCAATGGACCCAGCCCACACTCCTTCAACATGCACAGCAGCAGCATTCCTGTCTATCTATGTAGGTAATCAAGCGCACCAGATGTACACAAAGTGGTGGCTGGGCCTTAGCTCACTCTACACTGGATGCATGGAATCACTCCTTGAGCCTAGCACGGCCATGAGGAACGTGAACCTCATCTTCCCAAGAACGATTAGGTCTCCTGGAGAAAGTAATGGAGGTGAAGGGCGTTAGAAAGGTAGGCATCTTGTCAACATTCACATCAAACGCAGTCACACCAGGGACAACAAACAACCGACACCGAATTTAAAGGAACATAAACACGTAAAATAGACACCAAATATGCAGCAGAATAACAGAAGTGAGCAAATTGAATAAAGTGGAATACTTATTATCTATCTTAAGGACATCTAGTCTATGTGTAAGTCAGTGTAGCCCAACTGCGATGAAGAAGCATGATGTATGCAACATCAACCTCGGCATTAGGCACGTCCCACATGCATACGGTCAACAATACAAATAAGGTGATCAAGACAAACGGCATGAGTGACTAAGGAAGCTAGTTTATCGGAAGCCCGCTTGAAGCATGTGCCCAAACAATTAGTAACGGTGAATGAGCCTCTAGAATCCAGTGAGCTTCGTTGCAAATAATTTTATTGGCTTCCCAACAGAACCACTTTGTATTCTATCAAATTCTTCGATTCACTGTACTTTAATGTCACCTTACCGACGCGAGTAATTGCACACAGACCCACCGCACTGCTGTCCGAACCATAGTTGCTTAACTACACTGAGCTAGCACTCTCCAATTGTGTTGAAATCACAAATTGTATATCAGCAGCATGGGCTTTCACACTGCGTAATCTTACGTAAACCGAACGAAATGATGTCCAGAATAAACCGGTTGCCAGCAACGGCAGATTGCCATCGCCACCGCAAAGAGACGAAACTGAATCTTAGAGTGGCGCGAGGGTTTTACATACCTCAGTGATATACTAAGCTAAGCTGAATGGTATTTCCCGCACCTTCAGAGCTACTCATACGAAATTGCTTAATGATTGGAAGCTAGTCAAACAGTATCACCTTCAAATTGAGAGCACTTCTTCGCTCTATAAAATGGACTCACTGTAGCCGGGGATCGAAATTCCGCTGCCTGCGGTCAGGTCATCGAACTAAAGGCTTTGGTTGAGATCCCTAATTGATCTCCTGTCTAGGCATGGGTAACCTGACAGTATCCTGCCCTCGCAGTAGAATACAATGTTTTCTCTTCAAACAATTTATTGATGCTCTGGTTGTCACAGAGGATAGGTAACGGCGCCTTATTTGCTGCATCGAGCAGGGTGGATAGAGGTTTGAATGCCACTGCTCAAGCCTTTCCGTTTTCTTATTTCCCTTGCGTTGCTCGTAAATACCGTC